TTTCTTCCATACAGGAACTTTGCATTGATGGCGACTAATTTGTGTGTTTTTCTTTTTTTTTCTTTTTTTCTTTTTGCATGCTGTCCCCTGTGTTGGAACTCTCAATAGAGAGTAAGTTGGTTCAATATTTGTTGGAAACCTAACTTTACTGCATGACTGTGCAATTAACCCTTTTTCTCTATTTTCTCTCCCGAAGAGTTCATGCAGTGTTGGACCCTTTGCAATCCACGAAATGCTATTCGCAGTTATGCAGGCTGTCATTCTGTTTGGAGATGTGCTTTTTAATCTACTAATTAATCTAATTTGATTATGTTCTTCTGTTCTGTATTTGATGACTGGCACACCTAAGATACAAGCAAGGTTAAGGAAAGGCTGCCTCAATTGTAATAGCTCAAATATTATAATTTTTTTCCAATAAGTTATATTTGTGAGATTTGTGGGAGCATAAATTGATTCCATTGAAGTTTGGCTCCATTGAATTATTAATACATAATTTCCAAGTTTCACAATTATTTTTAAAAATTTAGTTCCATACACCCCATATGTACTTTCTAATATTATAATGTCATTCCTTAAGAGCAAACAGAGCAATGATTCTCAACATGTTCTTCAAATTTTTAGCCCTAGTATTATATTAGCATATTCACTTTTCATTTTCTCCTTTAATCATAGATAAGGAAATAGGAGATTATCAACATCTGAGAATAAACTCTTTGTGATAGTGCAATCAAGTAAGATATATTATGTGAAATTCCCAGTATATTTTTTTAGATTGATACATGTAGACGACAGCTATATATTACCAGTTAGTAAGTACGATTGATAGGATATAAGTATTTTGAAAAATAATAATATAGTTCTATATTTAGAAAAATATCAGTACCATGTTTACATTTTTATTCAGCTATGCTCACATTATATCTAATCAAAAGAACTTTTTACTTAGGAGACCTGGAGAAGTCTTTTTTTTTTTTAATATATTTATATTGATTTCAGAGAGGAAGGGAGAGGGAGAGAGAGATAGACACATCCATGATGAGAGAGAATCATGGGTCAGCTGTCTC